TATTATTATTTTAAATAGAAAAAAGATTATAGGATCTTTCTAAAACAGCTTATAAAACTTTTTCAAAACACTAATGCACTTCACCTGCATTTATTTACCCATGTCAAAAGCCTGGCACCAGGGACAGTTGGCACCAGGGAAGCTAAAGTAGTGAGGTGACAAAGGGGACAAGGGGAGATGGCTTCCCACTGCCACAGGGCACGGTTAGATGGGTTATTGGAAAGAAATCCTTCCCTGGGAGGGTGGGAAGCCTGGAACAGGGTGCCCAGAGCAGCTGGGGCTGCCCCTGGATCCCTGGCAGTGCCCAAGGCCAGGCTGGACAGGGCTTGGAGCCCCCTGGGACAGTGGGAGGTGTCCCTGCCATGGCAGGGATGGCACTGGATGGGCTCTGAGGCCCCTTCCAACCCAAGCCATGCCAGGATTCTGTTCCTAAGGTCCCTTCCTAACCGAGTAATTCTGTGATTCTGTGAGGTTCGTGCCACTGGTCCCGGGCTGCGCTTGGCGCGGCGGGAGCAGGAGCAGCAGAATCGGGCGCCATTCCTGGGATGCGCTGGGAGGAGACCAGAGCGGTGTTCCAAGGAACCGGGACCGGCCGGGGAGCGCTCTCGGCACGGGAGGGCGGGCCCAGCCGTGCGGCCGGGGCGGGCCGGGGCGGGCCGGGCGGCGGGGCCGGGGCCGGTGCCGGTGGCGGCGGGAGCGCGGCCGGAGCCGCACGGGCGGCAGGTACGGGGCGCCGGGGGCCGGGCCGGGCTGTGCGGGTGGGCGCTGCCGGTCCCTTGGGCCGAGACGCTGCCCGGGGATGCCCTGGCATCTCTCAGCGCCCGCGGGCATCCCCGGGCAGCGTCTCGGGCCGAAGGGACCGGCTCGACGGGACTGGCCGTGGTGTCTTTTACTCTGCTACACTCCTGAGGTCACCCGGTCTCTGCCTGGTTTGGCAGCAGCGGGGCAGGTTTTGTGCTGGGCAGGGGTTTGGGGTGTACCCGGCGTGCAGCAAGGGGCAGTAATTCGCATTTAGCCTTTATTTACCCAGGGGTTTCCTTTAATCTTTCTGATAAAAGAGAATGGGAGCAAACTGCATCTTCGGGGAGTAGTTCAGTGTTTGGTTTGGCGTTGGAAATGTGCCATCTCCCCCAGGGTGGTGCTCCCAGTGAGGCAGTGTGCCCGCAGCATCCCAGGGGATGCAGTCGCTCTGCTCCTGTTGGGGGTGTGCTCCTCTTACTGTCCAGGATTCCTTGCCCAAGCAGCCAAGTGAACTCACAATGTGACCTTCCTGGCACATGAGGAGCACGGCTTGTGATTGTCCCAAGAGACAGGGACATCATGGGAGCCACAGGATCATGATTGGGTTGAGTTGGAAGGGACCTCCAAGTCCACCTCATTTCACCCCCTGCCCTGGGCAGGGACACCTTCCACTACCTCAGGCTGCTCCAAGCCCTGGGCACCCTGTGCCAGGGCCTCCCCACCCTCCCAGGGAAGGATTTCTTTCCAATATCCCATCCATCCCTGCCCTCTGGTAGTGGGAAACTATTACCCCTTGTTGGCCTTGTCACTGCAGGCCCTGTCCCCAGTGCCTCTGCAGCTCTCCTGGAGCCCCTTCAGGCCCTGGCAGGGCTCTGAGCTCTGCCTGGAGCCCTCCCTTCTGCAGCCCCAGCAGCCCCAGCCCGGCTGCAGAGCAGAGGGAGCTCAGGGCTGGGCAGGGCGGCGGGAGCAGAGTGCCTGGCACACGGCACAGCGTCGGGGCAGCGCTATCTGACTCCAGACTGTAAATACTCCTGAGTGCTGCACGCCTGCCCGGGGGCTGGAGCCCCGGAGGCGCCTGCGTGGGCTGGAGCCGTGGGCGGTGGAGCTGGCACCGTGTGCCCTGGCCACTGGCCCTGCACCGGCAGCACAGAGCATCTGCTGGGAGCTCTGACCCCACCTTGAGACAGGCTTTCATTGCTCACTGGCACGTGGCTGCTCCACTTTTCAAACTGCCAACCTGTAAACTTGTCAGGTAATAAAAGAAATTCCTCTAATTTGCAAAAGTACCACTAGAGAGATGTCTCATTTAGGAAAACTAGGCTTTTCCCTCAGGGTTCAGGGGAGATGGCAGATGAGCAGCTGGTCATCAGAGAGGAGTGACTGCTGTGTCTCAGGAGAGAAAGTGCTGAGCAATCACAGTGTCATCGGGCTGGTAGTGTCAGCGTGGTTTTGCTGCCCATATCTGACTCTGGAGCTTCCAGGAGTGGGGCAAGTTTTGCTTATGACTTTATTTCCTTCAAGTGGCAATTGCCCTAGGAAAACCCCAGAGGAGATTCAACAGAGTCAACAGGATCATTTCGTAATGTGGGAGTCTGATGTCACTGTGAGGTGGAGGAGTTTCACCCAGGGTGATGCTGGGATGAGGCAGGGCTGGATCAGCTGCTGGAGACAGGGAGGACACGTCCACAGCACAGAGAAACCCCACTGGAACCAGGAGCAGGTTTCTCCTAGGATGGCTTTGGTCATCAGGAGAGGGGCCATGGCAGCCTGTGGGCACACACAGGGTCTCACAGCCCTGGGGTCTGTGACCAGGGCAGCCTGGAGCAGAGCAGGGATGTGACGCAGTGCTGGCTCCCCAGAGCCACCTGCAAAGGCTTCAGGGATGTGTGTCTGTTGAGGGGGTGGCCCCTCTGTGCCCCCAGCCCTGCTCAGCTCCTGCTCCATCGCTGCTCCTCGTCCTCCCTCTGGAGGGGCTGTGGGAAGGAGACACAGTTGTCAGTGCACGGATGGAGAGTGGGTCCTTACACCCCTCATTTATCACCTCTCTGCTCAGGTGCAGCCCACTGATGGGACAGAGCAGGACCCACCCCAGGCTGGCACCAAACCTGGCACCAACCCTGCCCTGAGCAGCTCTGGGCTGAGCTCTGAGCACTGTGCCAGGGAGGAGCCCCCAAAACAGGGCCTTGGGGCTCACCTGGGGCAGCTTCCAGCTGTCAGCAAGGAAGGAGCCTGTTTGGAAACACTGGAAATAAAGGTAGGAAGAAAACTGTTAAAATGAGAATATACATCGCAAAAAAGTCATCCAGGCATATTCAAATGCAGCTTTTGCTTCTTGCCATTTCTTTTATTCCGTATAAAAAGGAATAATTTCTCCCAGCACTGGCAGGTTGATGAGTGACCCACAGAGACGAGCACAAGTGGGGTCTCCCTGTGGCAGGAGCCAGTGGTTGGTGACAGCAGGGACAGCCAGGGCACGCAGCTGGCAGCAGCGGCCAGGCAGGGGCTGGAAACTGCAATCTGATCTAAATCTGTTACTGGATTTGGTAAAAGGCAGAAAGCATTTCCTCGTGGCCTCGCTGGGCTCCCAGATGTAGGGCAGCTCTGAGCACTGGGCTCTGTAAGGCAGGGCTGGCTCACCCTGCAGGGCTGGGGCAGCACCGCCCCAGGGCTCGCATCTCCTCACAGCCGGGGCAGCTCGGACAGGCTGAGGGCACTGTTCCCCCTCTGCTGGTATCTGCCCAAACCCGGCCAGGCTCTGCTGCAAGGTGTGCTCCCTCCACGGGCAGGGGGAACCTCAGCGGCACAAGGGCATGGAGGATGGGATGGTGAGGCTGGGAGTCCAGGGGGTCCCAGTCCCAGGACACGAGTTCCTTGGAGAACAAAACCTTTGTCTAGAGGAGTGCAGCCTGCCCTCGGATCTTAGAGGAAGCAGCTGGGGTTTGTTCTTCCCAGAGTCCTCTCCCACAGAGGATCACCTACATCTAACATCAGAGGTAATAGGCACGCTGTGAAAACCATCACCTCTCTTTGTGTCATGCAGCGAGACTTCAAAATCTGTTGGGTTTATGGTGTTATCAAACCCTCTGTGTGCTACTCAGGAGAACTTGCAGATCTGGCCAGCAGATCAAGGAATCAGTATCACCTTCTTTATTTTTGAAAAGTGTGAAGAACCTGCCTCCTTTCACTCCCCAGGGCCCGTGCACACCTTTGCTGCCTTCTTTGCTCACCTGCAAGTAATGCTGTGTCACTCTCATTCCTGCCCTGCCAAGTGCTGCTCCTTGGTGAACTATGGCTGCATTATTCCGCCACTCTTCCTCCCAGGATGGGGCTATTCCCAGCATTAATCTTTAACTCTGCTCTCCTGCAGCTTAAATCTGACAAATGTTCTGAGTGGCTGCCTCAGGTTCTTTTTGAAATCCTGCCTCGGGATGTTAAGATTTAGTAACACAGATTCTAACCTTAAAATAGCAGCACAAAATGTTCTATTTACTCACAACATGAATGCCAAGTATGCAGCATCCCTCACCAGAGCAGAGGAGTGGGGGGGCATACTGATAATATCTGACAGACAAAGGAATTTGGTGGAAAAAAACAATCTGGTTTCCCTCCTCCAGCAGGCAGCAGCCCTGGACAGCATTCCTGGTCCTGGGAAAGGTGCTGCTGCTTCCAGCTCCTCTTCTTCTGTCCCTCTGAAAGCTGCATGTGCTCTAATACTTCTTACTTTAAAGAAAAATTGTCTCAGGCTCCATGTGAGGTTGATCCCTGAGCGCTGTGAGCCCGAGCTCTACCCAGGCCAGCTCCTGCGTGTACTGCTTGGTCCATCTAGTGTTGGCTGAGGCTGGGACAGCATTCCAGCTGGATCAGAGTGCACACAGCATTCCCACTCCCCGAGCAGCACCTGGGCAGGCATTGCCACACTGCAGGGCCCTGCCAGGCTCGGGAGTCACCGGGCACGGCCACGTCCCGCAGGTCACTCGGCTCTGGTGGGGCCAGCAAGAACCCAAATGTGACAAAACCATTCACCAAAGTGGAACTGCCAGTCCCAAAGCTCTCCTGTAGAGGAGGCTGGGTGCCATGCTGCTGCCATGGCATGACCCTGCAGAACATTTGAGTGTTTTCTGGGTTACAAACCACGGCCGTGCCATTGCAGTGGCCGTCCCACTCCTGCTGGGCTGCCCAACTGGGGCACCTGGTGTGGCACAGGCTCTGCTCCTCTCAGAGCTGCTCTGATGTCTTTTCTCCTGCTTGCAGGCAGCAGCATGAACCTGAAGAAGTACCTGGTGCGGGCACTGCACCGCCTGCAGAAGGGCCCTGGCTACACCTACAAGGAGCTGCTGGTCTGGTACTGCGACAACACCAACACCCACGGCCCCAAGCGCATCATCAAGGAGGGGCCAAAGAAGAAATTAATCTGGTTCTTCCTAACGCTGCTCTTTGCATCCCTGGTGTTCTGGCAGTGGGGGATCCTCATCAACACCTACCTCTCCTACAACGTCACCTCATCCCTCTCCATTGGCTTTAAGACCATGAAGTTCCCCGCAGTCACCATCTGCAACGCCAACCCCTTCAAGTAAGTTTTTCTTCTCCCAATTTCCCCATGTGTGCCCTAACCCCTCAGAAACATTGCCTGTGTGAGGTACTGAGGGCCCGTTCCTGTCTGAGACATCACATTAGGAGCATCAATGGAGTCTCCAGGTGTCCCTAAAAACAAATAAAGAACAATGTGAAGATGAATGGCTCAGGGCCAGAGGAGGGTTCATCTCCCTGCAAGTTCTCCTGGGCTTCACAGAATCCCAGAACAGTTTGGGTTGGGAAGGGACCTTCAAGTTCATCTTATTTCACCCCCTGCCCTGGGCAGGGACACCTTCCACTATCCCAGCCCTGTCCAACCTGGCCTGGGACATTTCCAGGGCTCCAGGGGCAGCCACAGCTTCTCTGGGCACCTGTGCCAGAGCCTCCCACCCTCATGGGGAAGAGTTTCTTCCTAACACAGTTTCTGTACCATATCAGTCAATCTAATGAAGGTTTTTACCTCCCTGCAAACTTTCCTCAGCTCATAAAAGAACCAAATTCAGCTCACCCTTCCCAGCTAGAATCAGTCTTTCCATCTTTTCCCACACTTTCCTTCCCCTTCCTCACTGTGAGCATTCTTCTCATTGTTCATACTGCAGTCACTGAGAGCTGGTTCCACAGTCCTGTCTGCCATAGGGACAGAGAGCTGAATTGTGATTTCAAAGGAGTCACTGATTTTCATTAGAGTTGCTTTAAATTTATCATTGTTTTAAATCCATGCACTAGTGTAGCCCAAGGCAAGACGCTCCCAGCCAACACAAGAATTGCTTAGGGGTAGTTTTTCCTCCACTTGCTAGAGATGTTTTGTGTAAACTGCAGTGAATTACTGAACTAGAACCAACGTGGCCCAGCACAGGTGTGTTCAGCCCTGCAGCACTCCCTGTTTATCCTCTCACTGCTCTGCCCAGGGTCCGAGCTGGCCGTGCTGTGCGTGGCAGCTCCCCTTGTCCTGCAGTAAATTGAGGCACACTCTGAGGTGCCCAGGAGGGTCCAAGCCAGCGGTGTGGCGGGTGAGCAGCCACGTGTCCCCACTCCCTGTCCCGCAGGTACTCGGAGGTGAAGCCCCTGCTGAAGGAGCTGGACAGGCTCATCGAGGCAGCCCTGGAGAGGATCCTGCAGCCCACGCCAGGCAACAGCACTGAGAACATGTCCCTGCCACTCGACCTGGAGCTCTGGAACCAGATCCCCCTGGTGCTCATTGACGAGCACGACAAAGACAATCCCATCATCCTGGACATCTTTGAGACCAACCAGACTGCTGTGGACAACGAAACTGCCATGGACAGCAGAGCCAATGTGAGCAGTGACACTGCTGAGGGCCACCAGCTCTATGGGACCAATGGAACCATGGACAACGAAACCACTGAGGGGAACCAAACCACTGCTGCACCTGCCCCAGCCAACACCACGTTGGAAGAGAAAAAGTACAAGCTGGCAGTGAAGCTGGTGAGATGAGAGGGGCCCCACAGTGGCAGCGGGCAGAGATGAGGGATGGGTGCCTTGGCAAGGATGCAGCAGGGAGATCTGTGTCTCCTCTGCACCAGCTGCCCATGGCCCTCTGCCCTGGGGTTCTGCTCTGGCCGTGCCAGGTCTGGGGACTGCCAGTGCCCAGACCCTGCTGCAGGCTGAGCCCAGGACAGAGCCAGGGCAGGGGTGGTCCCTGAGGGCTCCCAGGCACCTTCATCCCTTCCTGGGGTCGGGCACCCAAAATGCCAGGGAGAGGCTGTGGCTGCTGCCCCATCCCTTTCCTGCTGCAGTCCACAGTGCAGAGGCACAAGGTGATCCTGGAACCCCTCACCCCTGCTCCCATGGAGGCTCCAAGGACCCTGCCTGGGCAGACCTCGGAGGCTGGGGAAACCACAGCCTTAAAGAATTGGTCCAAAACTGACATTTTCTGTTAACTGGTGGGGTCACCCTGGGGATGATGTATAACCTGCCCATCAGGGAAATGTCCCTGGGGAAGGACCCTGTAATGACAGCCAGCTCAGTGACAGCCAGCTCAGTGACAGCCAGTTCAGTGACAGCCAGCTCAGTGACAGCCAGCTCAGAGTGACAGCCAGCTCAGAGTGACAGCCAGCTCAGTGACAGCCAGCTCAGTGACAGCCGGCCTGTGGCCCCGTCAGGCTGAAGCTCTCAGTCCCTGGAGCTGCAGGCAGGGCTGGCATGCGGGTGAGCACATGGGGAGGGGTCCCCCAGGGCCCTGCTGTCCCCCAGGCTCAGGCTGCCTGCTCTGTGTCCCCAGTGCAGCCACCAGGGCTCTGAGAACTGCACGTACAGGAACTTCAGCAGCGCGGCGCAGGCGGTGACCGAGTGGTACATCCTGCAGTCCACCTCCATCCTCTCCAAGGTCCCGCTGCACGAGAGGATCAGGATGGGCTACCAGGCAGAGGACATGATCCTGGCCTGTCTCTATGGGGCCGAACCCTGCAACTACAAGTAGGTGCACACAAGCTCCCTGCTCCTTTCTGTCCCTGTGGAGCAAACAGCACACGGGTTCCTTTCTCTTTGTAAGGTATATATCAGCTGCTAATGAGATTGGTATAGATCAGCTGATAATGAGCTTGCTGCTGATTCTCAGCTCTAGCAACACTTCCCAGTGTTGGGAAGCACAGCTGCTGAGCTGGGCCCACCTTCTGCTTTATGTCACACGCCTTTAGTCCTCCCGAGAGTCACAGTTTTCTGTGTATGATTCCTCCAGGAATTTCACCCAAATCTACCACCCAGACCATGGTAACTGCTACATCTTTAACTGGGGCATGGATGAAGAGGCTCTGAATTCTTCCAACCCTGGGGCTGAGTTCGGTAAGGGAGCTCTGTGGTGGAGGAGGGGGATGGAGGGGCAGACGTGAGGGCTCTGTCTCTTGGTGCCCATTTCTGTCCCTCAGGACAGACTTACGATTCCTCTGTCACTGGAGCACTGCAACAGGGAGCAGAGGCTTTCCAGGAGGGGATGAGCCCCAAAAGGAAAATGTGCCACATAGAAAAAAGTGACTACAGACATGTAGCAGAAGGGCATCCTCTGATATTTGAAATATCTGAGGCAACACCCGACTGTTGCCAGCTATTGCAGTTCTGGGCATTCACCACCACAAATGTTCCTCCCCAGATCAGGCTGCTGTGGCAGCCAGGCTCTGGCTCTTCCCAAGGAACAGGGAGGAGAAAATAGACTCCCTTCTTTCCCCAAGCCTCGCCTTCCAATACAATTCCTGTTGTGAGTGTTTTTTCTGGTGTCCCAGGGCTGAAGCTGATTCTGGACATCAGCCAGCAGGACTACATTCCCTACCTGTCCTCTGCTGCTGGGGCCAGGCTCATGCTGCACCAACAGAAGAGCTTCCCCTTTCTCAAGGATCAGGGCATCTACGCCATGGCTGGGACAGAAACCTCCATTGGAGTGCTGGTGGTATGTGTGGCATTCCTCGGGAGCAGATTGTCTGAGAATAATGTTATCTGATGGGACCCAAACCAAGTTTGCTTTAAGTCTTGGCTGAACTGGCTCAAACCAAAGGAGACGAGGTACACACCTGTCAGGGGCTGGAGCGCTTTATGGAGGATTTTATGTAACTGTCCTGGCAAAGTGCTTGATTGAGGCCGGGATTCTGGGCTCGGGTCGTGGTTGTCTCTTTGTGCAGCACGTCAGACACGTCAGAAGGGGCTTTGGCAGCCCCTGAGCAGCCTGGCCTGCCTGGATCCACCCAGGGAAGGGGCTGCAGCCTGCTCAGCTCTGCCACCGCTGACTCTCATCTCTAGCAAAGCCATTGGGGAGCGCAGAATTGCAGAGCTCAGGAGAACGGGCGCAGGGACCTGTGGAGAAGGGATGAGCACAGTCTGGTGTTTGGGTTTCTCCGCAGGACGAGCTGGAGCGGATGGGTTACCCCTACAGCGACTGCACCGTGAACGGCTCCGACGTCCCCGTCAGAAACCTCTACAGCCAGTACAACACCTCCTACTCCATCCAGGTGAAACACCCTCTGCATCAAACACCACTCTTTAGGAAAAACCGTCAAAGCACTTAGATCTTTGCCTGTCATGTAGGGTACTGGGGAATCATAAAACCATAAAACCTTTCAAGATAATCAAATCCAAGTATCAACACAGCACCAGCACTGATAAACCATGTCCTCAAGTGCCACATCAAATGATTTTTGAACACTTCCAGAGATGGTGACTTCACCACTGCCCTGGGCAGCCTGTTCAAATGCTTTACAACCCTTTCCATGAAAAGTTTTTCCTCATATCTGACCTAAGCCCCACATGGCTCTGTAGAAATAGTCATTGAGGCTCTGGGAACTTCTGCTGAGACAATGTCAAAGTGACACTTCTCAGGAACCTGTGTTTCGTGAACACAAGTGATATTTACCCCTGAAAGGAGAGGAGTACAAAGGAGAGAGTCTCCCTCTGAATGCTCCTGTGATCTTTAACTTTTTTCTCTTTGGGGGAATCAAGTAATTTTTCACCCTGAAAATGCAGCTGGTTTGTGCAGGAAGGGAGACAGCCCTTTGCTTCTTCATCACTCTGAAAATGGGATGAGAAAGTTGAGTGTCAGTAAACCTTGCAACTGTAGAAAATTAGAGGGCCAACATTAAGCAGATGTTAATACAAATTAACTTCTAACAGGCTGTGCTGGAGAGAGAAGCAGCTCTTGAGGGTGCAATGTGATAATAAGGGAAACACCCAAACCATTTGGGGTGATTCACAGATGCACCTGGAGATCAGAAGGGCTTTGGGCTGGGGCTGGCAGTGGTTTTGTATTTCTACCTTTATATAATATAATAACAACTGGACCACTTTAGCCAGCTTTTGAAGATGCTTGTATAAAGTTTAAGCAAACACTCAGGAGGATTGCATTATTCCCTGGAAGTGCAAATGCTGACGGAGTTCTGTGCCCACGTAACACCACTTCAGAGCCCTCTCAGCTAAACCAGGCTCTCCATCACTGTCTGGCTGCTCTGCACTCTGTGGACCTTTCCTTTCACATGGAAATTCTCTGCCTGTCCTGCCCACACCGGTTAAATTTAATTATCTTCTCACAGACTTTGCTATTGCTTTGTGCTGCCTTGTGCAGAATCCCTCTCCAGTCCTGGGTGATGAACTTCACGCCTCACCAAGCTAATGGCAGTGCAGCAGCTGGAGCTGCAGCCACAATCCTCCCCAGAAGAGCAGCACCTACACAAAGATCATTCATTTGTCTGCTCTTTGTGTTGAAAGATTTGGAAATTCCTGGCCTTAAAATGTAAAACCAGCCCTTTGTCAGTGTTGTGTAAAGCCTGGAGAGCACAGCCCTGTCTGTGGTGGAACAGAACGTTTGTATTCCCTTTTGGAAGCTTGAATGTTACTTCTGTGAAGCCCTAAAATAATCGAGAAATGAGCAGTTTCTTGTGTGAGTGGGAGCAGGTGCTGAGCTCCCTGCATTGCCCACGAGGTCTCACGAGTGGCCTGAAGAACTCCAATGCCCAGCAAGGCTGGCAGGCCCTGGCAGCCCCAAGATCACCTGTTCAGTGCAGGAGAGGGAGCTCCTGGGGGCAGAGGGGCTCTGGGGCCGCTGCCATCCCAGCAGTGCACAGCTCCCCAGGGCTGAGCATCCCTCTTGCCTCCCCAGGCCTGCCTGCGCTCCTGCTTCCAAACCCACATGGTGGAGATCTGTGGGTGTGGGCACTACATGTTCCCTTTGCCTGAAGGGGTGAATTACTGCAACAACGAGGACAACCCAGGCTGGGGTAAGAGCTGCTGGGGCTTTCTGGGGCCGGGCTCTGCTGCTGTCCTTGCAGGTCCTGCCCAGCTGCTCCCCGTGGGACGAGGCCACCTGGGCCCGTGCTGGGGAGAAGGGGCCACGTTTGGTCTTGGCTGTGGCCTGGGGGAGCCCTTGGGCACCAAAGAGAGAGCATCAATCACAGGGTATCACTCCAGGGCTCTGCACCAAAAATTCTGGGTCCCCTGGCAGGGGCAATGGAGGGTCCAGTGCCCGCCTGGGGTAGCACAGCTCTGTGCTGGCAGAGGCCAGGGCTGTGCCAAAAATACCAGCCCTGGGCAAGCTGGTTCTGTAAGAACTGTCTTCAGAAACTGACAGTTTATTTTTTATTTATTAGCAAAGTGCCTCAATGTTTTGCTCAAGTTTCTCAAGGAAAGGAAAGATGGCAAATCTGTGCTGAATGGTCATACCTAATATTTATTTTGATAAATGGAACTGATATACCTCAGTAACTGGGACCTTATCTAAAGAAATACTTTAATTTTGTTTTCACCAAACAGCATATTGCTATTCCTCACTGAGATCCAGCATAAAACAGCGTCAGATCTGCATTGACTCCTGCAAAGAAACATGCAAGTGAGTACCTGAGCCTCATCTGGTTGCTGTGGAGGTGGAGGGATCCTTCATGTTGACTCCCATCAGCCCTGACTGTCCCAAAAGGGCAGCAAACCCTGCAGGGCTGGTTTGCTGTGTGAGAACTGAAGTTCCAGGGACTTCAGAGGAGGGGAAATCTCCCTACTAATGCTGTCCCTCTCCACTGCAGTGACACCCAGTACAAGATGACCATCTCCATGGCAGACTGGCCATCAGAAGCCTCTGAGGTAACCCCCATTGCTTGGCTTGTAGCAGACACTGCTGGCTCCTGTTCCCAGGCACATGGGCCCTGGCTGTTGTCAGAGCACCTCTGCTGCAGTCCATGTTTTCCACACGCAGACCAGCCCAGCACCAGGGCATGAGGCAGGGAGGGACCCCAGAGTGGCCCCTCCCTGCTGGGTTCTGCCCCAGTGTCAGCCCAAGGCTGAGCCCACATGGGACAGGGAAGGAGCACCCACGGCCCTGCTGAGGCAGAGCTGCCCTGCTCAGCCCACAGTGCCCCTCCAGCTGCACAGGGTGCCAGGGCTGCCTGGCACGGGGCACAGCACCTGCAGGGCTTGTGCTCTTCAGGAGCACAGGATGTCTCTGCTCTTTCTGAACAGATTTTGTTTCCTTAGGACTGGATTTTCCATATTCTGTCTTATGAAAGGGATATGTCAACAAATGTGACTCTGGACAGGTGAGTGAAAGGAACAACCACTTTATCTTCTTTGCTGAGCCTGTTAACATCAGCCTGACACGAGCCCTGGCTCTGGGCCAGCGCGCGCGGGTGCAAATGCTCAGGGAGGACGAGGTTTGCAGCGTGTTCACCTGGGACACACAAAAAGCAGATCCAAAAGGCACTTCATGCACGTCCTCTGCTCTCCAGAGCTGCACACTGGGCCAGTCAAACACAAACATGCAGCAAAGTAAAATCAGCCTTAAGGACAGTTCCAATGTCATAACGTTTGTCACGCTGTACTGATGTCTTGGTGTCTCTCTGTCCCACGGTCAGGCTGGAGCAGAGGTGCAGGGCATTGACAGGCAGCTCCTCACGGAGGTGGGTTTTGCTCTTTACAGGAATGGGATCATCAAGCTGAACATTTACTTCCAGGAGTACAACTACCGCACCATCTCAGAGTCAGCTGCCACCACGGTGAGTGCCCATGCCAGCCCTTCTGGCAGGGCAGGCACAGGAGCCAGCCAGCTGGGACAGGCAGGGCTCAGTGCCCTGGGGGACAGTCTGTCCCTCCAGGCTGCTCCTTGGCACACCTGCTGAAATGAAGCGGATGAAGCCACTTCTGCCTGTGGCTCACAGCCCTCAATTCCTTCCCCCACTCCACCTCTCATCCCTGTCCCAGCCCTGCAGGGCAGCACCAGCAGAGGAGGGGCCCCAGAAGGCAGGTCCCAGGTGCAGGGGCATCACCCACACCAGCACTGGCACACGGGTGATGGATCGGGCTGGGGCACATCTGGGGGCTCACTCTGCTCTCCTCCCACAGATCGTTTGGCTGCTGTCGAGCCTGGGAGGCCAGTTCGGGTTCTGGATGGGGGGCTCGGTGCTGTGCCTCATTGAGTTTGGGGAGATCATCATCGACTCGCTGTGGATCACCATCATCAACGTCATCAGCTGGTGCAAAGGCCTGAAGCAGCGGCGGGCGCGGGCGCGGTTCCCGGACTCGCCCCCGACGGTGTCGGAGCTGGTGGAGGCCCACACCAACCTGGGCTTCCAGCCCGAGCCCGGGGGGGCCGTGCCCGGGGCCCCGGCGCTGCCCCCCGAGCCCGGCACGCCCCCGCCCAACTACGACTCCCTGCGGGTGCAGCCCCTGGACACGCTGGGCCCCGAGAGCGACGCGGACACCGAGTGAGCGCAGGGGCCTGCCCGCTCCCACGGGCCGGGCAGATCTCTGTCCACAGACAGAGGGAATTAAAGCCCAGGCTGTCCTCTCCTATGACTGAGCGCTGGCAGGAAGCTCTGCCTAATAAACCCTGCAATAAACCTCACAGAGTCAGGCTTTGGCTTTGGCTTTAGTGTGTAGGGCTTGTGTACATCAGTGTTGCTGTAAAATCATGTCACTGTTTCTCGTCACCAGGTGGGTGGGAAGCAATTCCCAGTGAGCAGAGCAGGGTGGTGGCAGGGAGAGGACAGGATGTGCTCACAGTGGATGCAAGGCCGTGGCCTGGTAGATCACAGAACCCTAAAAGAGTTTGTGTTGGAAGGGACCTTAAAGACTGTCTCATCCTACCCCCTTCTCCAGCGCTCTTGGCTGCAGGGATGTGGCACAGCATGTGCCATACCATGGAGCAGAGCCTTGGGATGGCACCAAAGCTGCTTCTGACTTCTGAGGCTGCAGAATTTCCATTCCCAAAGAACTACAATGGAAACTGAACTCTCCCTTCACTGCTGGAGCCCCTGGGTGCCCATTGTGCTGCTGCCCAGGGTTTGTACCACTCACGGTGCAGGTGGGCACAGCTGACGGTGTGTGCCAAGAACACCACTCCACAGAGACTCGGGTGGGAGGAGGCACCAGCCTGTTTAATTATCATTCTTGCAATAATAAAAAGTTGATTTGAAAGTTGCCATTAGCTTCCCTGCTGGCAGTGGGGGTAGTGCAGTGCTGGCAAGAGGTTGATGGCAGTGGCTTGGGAGGAGGAGAACACAGGGTGTCCACCCTGACACGGGGGCAGCCGGGGCCCTTGGGTGGTGCCTGTGGGGCTGAGCTGACTGGGGCAGGGAGCTCACCTGTCCCTGGCTGGCTGTGGGCCCCAGGAGCTTTCCCAGGAACCCATCACGGGGGATGGCCTTACTGAAGTACCTCTGCAGAAGTTCAAGAGGAAGCACAATCCTGTGGTTAAACCTCGTAGCAGAACACGCTGTTCTGGGCATGGCGCCCAGCATGGGACAGCTGCAGAGAGGGGGGTCCAGGATCCCTCTGCACAGCAAGGGCCCCGAGCACAGGGTGCTCTGCTGCAGGGCCGTGGGGCAGAGCCTGCCCAGGGCCCCTCCAGCCCCTCGGCAGTGCTGGAAATGTGGGGCCAGCTGCTGATGACCACCAGCAGCAGGACAGAGGAACTGGGGGAGCATTTGACAGCTGAGGTGCCACCAGCACAGCTGCCTCTGCCCCACACAACAGAACTCTGTGTTCAAAATTCACTGAATCCTGATGCAGGGAGTACCTCCTTCACATACCCACACACTGCCCCAGCCCTTTCTCCCCCAGCTGGTTCTCGTTTGAAGGAAGAAGGACCAACAGCCCCAAACACACTGCTCTGCACAGAACCACCCCACCCAGGCAGAGCCTGAGCTCAGCGAGCCCTAAACCCACCAGAGTGCAAAGAGGGCAAATGACAGCAAACACATCTGTAAAGACAGAGGAAGGCAGCCCTTACAAGCTGTCCTAGACTTTTCCTGTCTCCTGAAAGGAACATTTCCATCTCTGGGTACCACAAACTCACAAGCACAGACTCCTTTCCCACAGGAGAGCTCTCATAGAGTGATGGCACTTGATCCCATATCACAGCTGAGTGGGAAACAAGGACCTGCCACCCTCCCCTCCTGAATAAGTGCTCACTGTATGCAGTGCCATCCTTGGCAAAGGCTTCCTAAGGATAAATCAGTGAAAAACCAGAGCACATTTCTTAAAACATGGGGAATGCTGAGAGCAAGAACCTGGGCATCATCTCTCACCCTGTCACCAGCAGGTCCCTGGGATGATGGGCAGCAGGTCCCAGGCTGCTCACCCTGTCCTCATGACTTCAGCCCCAGCTGGCTGCCAGCCCAGGCCAACAGCAGCAGGCAAGGAACAGCCCCAAAACCTTCCCCAGCAGCACTGGGGCAGGGGAAGGCTGGGAGAGGCACGGCCAGTGAGCTGCACCCTCCTTACAGCAGGTGAAGGGAACAGAGTGTTCTCTGCAGGACAGGGACAGCTCACCATTCCAGTCACAGCTGGCTCGTGGAGCTGTCTGACATCTCATAAAAGTGGGAAGTGTCTCCAGTGCTTGGCTCCAGCTCTGTCCCAGCCTGGCTGGACCCAGAGCAGCCTGAGCCCAGCTGAGCAAAGGGGATTGCAGCTGCAGCAGCAGTGCAGGTGCTCCAGCCCAGCCCCTGTATTCTGCCCCGTTGTCTCCCAGGAGAGCACACCAAGGCTAGACCAGCTGCTTCACAAAAATCTATATAACAAATGGTAATAAATTCTACAAGGAAGCACCACTTTCCTTAAATTCCTTACAAACTTCATGGCTTTCAGTTGAATAATGAAATTGCACCAGGAACAACCTACAAAGCTGGTTCTAGTCTCAGGGCTGAGCTTTATCAAGCCTCGACTGTCAGCTGCAGAGACCCTTCCTGACCCTGTATTTACAACAGCCCTGAGCAGTGGCCACTGCCTAGAGGCAGCTCCCTCTGTGCTGCACCTACACCACCACCTCAGATACAGTAGATTAAATTCTCTGAAAAAGCTGCCACAAAGCATGAACTCTACAGCACCTGGCAGAACATTTCCAGCACTCCTCAACCTACTCAGGGCCATCCAGAGGTTTTGGGAAATTTGGCTGCAGGACATCTTTCCTTATTTCTAAAGATGGAAGAATGGAACAAGCTTTTCCTAGACAAAGACATTTATTAAAAGTTAGTCTGAAATAAATTTCCCTATTCCCCAGAGATCTTTTCACTGTCCTTGCAGAAATGAAAACCAGTCTGAGGAGATGAGTCCTTGAGCAGGGGCCAGTGGCAGGGAGGGCACAGCTGGCACCCAGGCCCCTCATGGCTGCAATGCCAGTGGCAGGGAGGGCACAGCTGGCACCCCAGGCCCCTCATGGCTGCAATGCCAGGGGCAGGAGGGCACAGCTAAGCCTCCAGGCCCCTCATGGCTGCGATGCCAGGGGCAGGGGGGCACAGCTAAGCCTCCAGGCCCCTCATGGCTGCAATGCCAGGGGCAGGGGGGCACAGCTGGCACCCCAGGCCCCTCATGGCTGCGATGCCAGGGGCAGGGAGGGCACAGCTAAGCCTCCAGGCCCCTCATGGCTGCGATGCCAGGGGCAGGGGGGCACAGCTAAGCCTCCAGGCCCCTCATGGCTGCAATGCCAGGGGCAGGGAGGGCACAGCTGGCACCCCAGGCCCCTCATGGCTGCAATGCCAGGGGCAGGAAGGGCACAGCTGGCACCCCAGGCCCCTCATGGCTGCAATGCCAGGGGCAGGAGGGCACAGCTGGCACCCCAGGCCCCTCATGGCTGCAATGCCAGGGGCAGGAGGGCACAGCTAAGCCTCCAGGCCCCTCATGGCTGCAATGCCAGGGGCAGGGGGGCACAGCTAAGCCTCCAGGCCCCTCATGGCTGCGATGCCAGCAGCCATCCGGCGGGGCAGGCTCTTGGCAGCCTGGCGAAACTCCTCTGGCTTGGCCTTCAGCAGGGTCACAATGTTCTGCAGCGCCCGTGAGGGCTGCAGGCCCAGGGCATCCATCACGTTTATGAGATAATCTGCAAAATTAAGGAAAAATTGGTATTTAACTTGCGATAGACACTGTGAAATGAAAGCTATCCTGGTTGTTGGTGACAGAGGGAATCCTGTCACACAGAGCTCCCACCCAGGCAGGAGCCCTGCGAGGGGACAGAGCAGCAGCACATACATGAGCTGTGCCCAGGAGCTCACCAATGTCCGTGGCCAGCTGCTTGGTGGAGTGAGGTGTGAGCTGTGGGATCTGCAGGATGACCTCGCAGTAGGTCTGCATGGTGGCCCTGGCGATGGAGCCCAGCCAGTAATCAGCCACGTTGTCCAGCTCGGGCAGCTCATCTCCTGCACACACAGTCCTGTTAGGCAGCACTCCTGAGCCCCTGGGCTTGCACAGCACACAGCCCTAACTGGTTAACAACATCTGAACAGCTAACGAACCTAATTAACAACTGGTTAACAACATCTGAACAGCTAATGAACAGCTGGTTAACAACATCCGAACTGCTAATTAATAACTGGTTAACAGCATCTGAACAGCTAATGAACAGCTGGTTAACAACATCTGAACTGCTAATGAACAGCTGGTTAACAACATCTGAACTGCTAATTAACCTAATTAACAACTGGTTAACAACATCTGAACAGCTAATTAACAACTGGTTAACAACATCTGAACAGCTAATGAACAGCTGGTTAACAACATCTGAACAGCTAATTAATAACTGGTTAACAACATCTGAACAGCTAATGAACAACTGGTTAACAACATCTGAACAGCTAAGGAACAGCTGGTTAACAACATCTGAACAGCTAATTAATAACTGGTTAACAACATCTGAACTGCTCCCTCCACAGGACACCCAGGTAGTCAGAGTTTATCAGCTGGTCCTGGGGTAATCTAAGCAGTCATGTACTCTCCCTGTGCTGCACACCACTGACATGTGGTGTACTCCCTGCATTACCCTCCAGGTAAGTCACTTCCAAAGGGCTGATGGGTGAGCAGCTGGGACAGGGCCCTGCCTGGCACCTCCTACAGGATCCTCTTCCAGGAGCAGTTTGCAAACCACAGACAAGGATTCACAAGAGGTTTTTTCCAGCCCTGAAGGCAGTCTGTGTTCATTAGTGTTTTGAAAATTATCAAGGCATTACAACATGTAAATGCTTCAAGGTGACATAATAGTAATGCAAAAGCCTGAACCAAAGAGTGTATTTGTGGAAGGTTCCAGAAAGACTGTAAATACCAAGCTCTATGCTTTCTTCACTATCTGTGGAAATAATAACACCATAAAGACACTAAGGCCAGCACACCAGGTACACTGCCAGCCTGCAGGGAAAGGCATTAGGTGGCTACTGCTGTTACCTGCAGCAGGATTAGTGACACAGCAGGCAGGGCCAGTGCCCTGCAGCAGGAACAGGAGC